CCTTTTTACCTACCCGAGTTGGGTTAGGGTCGACTCGATTGAACCGAGTCAGTTCCGAATTCGACCCAAAACCGACACGTGACCCGAAGTTGACACCTCTAATAAGACGGATGGTATTGGTGAACAAGACTAACAAACCATCTACATCTCAATAACCTCTTGAAAATGGCATATAAAAGGATATGGCCCATCTTTATTCTTCCTGCATTGGTCATCAATCTTGTAATTGAACTCATAATAAAAATACAATATATCAATTCATACTAAATTTATGACATATTTTAAGATGCTCTATTTCAATTAACGGATGACCGAAAAATATCAGATATTCGAATACTATTAAAAGCCTAATTAACATTTTAATTTCCCATAATACTTTAATTACTATCAGTTCAATCATTAATAGTAAAATATTAAAATATCTGTAAATTACTTAATCTTTTAACTTTTATAATTTACCAAGTAATTTTAATTGAACTGTTAATATTAATTTAGTGGTAAATTAACATTAAACTTTAAAATAAGTTTTAAGATATATTTAGTAAATTTTAAAATTTTCATACCTGAAATTTATATTTATATATTTTTTATACAATATTTCTGTGAAAGAAATATAATGTCTCACTAATATATATAATAAATTAAATTTCTTTTATTCATAAAGCACATAAAAACAAATATTTTATCTTTATATGTCATAAAATATTAAATAATTTATGATATTAATTTTTTTTTTCACTCCAAAATAAATATTATACACGTATAAAAAATTATCCATAACTATAAAAAATTATAAATACTATTTTAAGTATTACTTGTGACTCTCATCATACGTTATCCTAATCCTAAAAGGAAAATAATTAAATAAATTTGCACAGTTAATTTTTAACTATTGGTATAATCACATCCCAAACGAAACGAAACTTTGTGTTTTGTTCTGATCTAATATTGTTGACCTAATTATTTGAGGTCAATTTTTTTGGAATCAATCTGTAGTATCTAGGTTTTCGTAACCTAGTGTAGACGCTGCTTTTAGGATTTCCCTTAGGTGGATGCCAACTGAAATAGTATTGACTCGACCCTATTATTCAACCAAAATCAAACTCATTTTAATCTGAATCTAATGTGGATCTGAATATAATAAATCTAATCGAGCATCGTCAAGCCTAATTAAGTTCAATTCGATTGCATTCTGAATTCGACGGGTTCCGCCAACACTATATAATTTTTCTCTATATAATTTGAGAGAATTGGGTATCAATTCAAGCCATTTAAAATCATTATAATAAAATTAAAATAAAATTCAATAAACTTTATATTTAATTCGACAACAACTGTTTTAAATTTGATTAACTCGAACATTTTTAATTCATCATTTAAGTTTGTAATTTTGATTCAAAATTAACCCTTAGATTATTTTTAAGGCATGAGTGATCTTAGCCGTTGATTTGAATTGAGAAGCGGACAGCAGCCCCCACGTTCTCCCATATGCACCCGAAACGATCACCCTCTCCCTCTAATTCGCCAGGCAAATTATTAGGTCAGGTGACCGGAGCCAAAAGATAAGTTCGGACAGCCAATAAAAATTTGCCGCGTCACCTTGCGCTTTAGTTGCGCTTTTTGACTTGCGATTTTTAAGGCATGAGTGATCTTAGCCGTTGATTTGAATTGAGAAGCGGACAGCCCCCACGTTCTCCCCTATGTACCCGAAACGATCACCCTCTCCCTCTAATTCGCGAAACCACCCGAACTCCTCTTCCTCTCATTCGCACTACCCAAAACCGAAGGCCGTCGCCGGATCTCAAGTTCGCAAGAAGCCCCCACTCCTCTCTACCCCAAAATCAACCCAGACGGAGCCTTCGCCGGATCTCCTCCTCATTTTCCCTAACTCTGCCTGTTCTCATTCGCAAGAAGGCCGAACGAAAGCCCTCCCTCCTTCGTCTCTCTTGCCCGACCGAGCCCAGGGAAGTCAAACGAAAGCCCTACCTCTCCGTTTTCCTCTCTGTTCGCAAGAAGTCCAGGTGGAGTCTCCCTTTCCCGTGGACTCTCCATTCGCAAGAACCTTAGCCGACGCTAGCCCTAGCCGAAGCCGACCATAGGTAAATTTTCTTCTTCTTTATATCTTTCCTCTCCATTCTAACCTTCTTCTTCATTATATCAATCATCAAAAGATCAAGAATATATTGATTCCCATTTCTCTTTATGTTTGTAGAAAATGAGGGATTTAGATTATTTCATTCCTTTCGTATGGAAATCTAATGTTGATTTTATAGAAGTTATAAAAGCATTATCTCTAGAATTTCTTCTTGCTTCTAACAGTTATGTGTCTTTGATGTTGTTTCAAGAAAGTTGTTGGTGAAAAATGTGATGAGAATTTGTTGTTGTCTTTAAGAGAAGAGATTAGATATATGCTCTCTTGTTAAAGTGATGAAATTGTAAGTTATTGCATGTGATTTAGTTGTTTTCCTTCATCAATATTGAAGGGTGTAATGTATGCATGCATGTGCAAATTGTTTTAATGACAATCAAACCCTATGTCAAACAAGTTCTTCTTATCAATGATGGTGGCAAATAGGACTTGAAGAAGTATTGTTAAAATGGTTGCTTCATGTGCAAGCATAATATGTGACAAGTGACTAAAGGGTCTTGAGTAAATTAAGGGCTCCATATATACCACTCTTCTCTATGGATGGTTTAAATGTCTTGCTAGTTACTTGAAAGTTCTATGCTAAATCTCAAAGGAAATTTGTGTTAGTTTGCCTGGAGCATGTGATAATTTGGAAAGCCTATCATATAGTGTAACACTATGGGTTCATCACTCAGTTGGGAGCATGCCCCTTAAAGTTCTTTCTTCAATACTATGGTTGTAAACATAATAAAGAGGATGAGTAAGGATTTTAACCATAAATAATCATTGGAGAATTAATCTGTGAATTTACATGGTGATATTATTGTAGCTAGATAAATGCGTGTGTTGTGAAAAAGTAAAATGTGTGTGTCGGGAAGGGTGTCAAGTTTGACTTGAAAGGTTAAATTTGTGTGTATTGAAAGGTGCATTGAATATTGAAGTGTTTAAAAGTATTTTAATAAGGAAATGTGTAGAGTATGCTTTTGGGAAGGGAGAAGTGTGCAAGTGTGAGAGGTAAAATATTTGTTTTGTGGAAATTGTGTGAGTTTTGGAAGAGTCAAAATATATGTTTTGAAAGGAATGTGGAAATTTATTTTGAAAAGTAAAGAGTGCCTTGTGCTTTTGATAATATTAAAAGTGGTTATGTCGAGAGATGAACGTTATGGGTATTGTAGAGTGTGTTGTTGTGTTGAAAAGTGAAAATTATGTGTGAAATTATGTATGTGTATAAAGTAAAGTGTGTGCATATCTAGATGAAAACATATGTGTTTGTGGGAAGTAACTTGTGTGTGTTTTTGAAGGGTGCCATATTTAAATTTGGAAGAGTAAAATGTTTGTTTTTGTGGAAAAGTGTATGTGTGTATATTTTAGAAAGTAAAATAATGGTGAAATGTGTAAATGTGGAATAATGAAATGTATGGAGTAGGAGTGAATTATGGAGTTTATATAATAGGGTAAAGTGTTTTGATAAGTTTATGTTTTGAAAGGTGATTATGCAATCTTTGAAAGGTGGGAATTGTATGTATTTTGACAAAGTGGAAGTGTGTGAGTTTTGGAAAAGGAAGTGAAAGTGGAGTCTATGTGTGGAAAGGTGATTTGTGGTGGAGAGTGATTTAGTTGATGTCTTCTAGAAAATGGAAGCATTGAAAAGCAAAAGTCCTCTCTTTCTCTCTTTACCCCTCTTTTTTTCCCCATATACTCCCCCTTTCTCGTGCCTCAGGATAAATGTTGGAAAAGTATAAATTGTGCTTTCAAAAAGAAAAAGTTCAAAAGACAAGCAACAAATCGATGTCCAAGCTCGAAGAAAGAAACGTTTTTGTTTTTAGTAAATTTCAATTATTTCATTTTTAATTATTAAATGTGCTTCTAATTCATATTTTTTCTTTTTTAGTTGCATGAATCGCAAAGAATGGTATCGGTTGAGTGAACAAAAGGACAAGGGACTAAAGACGTCAGTCGCCTCCATCCAACCAGGTGGAGGTGTTACGGGCGGAACCATCGGGTCGTAGCCACCGATGACTTTAAGTATTCTAAAACTTAGAATGCCCCTAGGAGACCCTTGGTGTGGTTTGTGCGAACCCTTCTCCCTTAGGTCCCTATAATAAATTCAATTTTATTAGGATCATTTTTATTTTATTTTAGATCCTTAAACCCATTTACATGTGCGCAATGTCTTAGGAGTTAGTGATAATAAACTTTTTCATCACATATAACATTAGTGACATTTAAGGATAAAAATTAAGGACTGAGTCTTAGAAAACTTAGACTTATGATGCATGCATATTTTAGGGTAGAAATACAGAATATAGAAAACTTAGTGACACATTATTTTAGGTTTAGTGAATATCTTTAACTTAAATGCAATCAACTCTAAATAATAACTGCTATATTTCATATGCATATTTTTAATGAAAATACTGTATTTTTCCTTTCATCTTCACTTAACAATTGCTATATTTCGTGATTGTTTTATAGTTTTATGGTTTTTGTGCACTTAACCTATTTTTTAATAATATAATTGGTTTAAGGTTTACATTACCTTCGTTCTTCTGTAATTGCTTCAAACATTTGAAAATGGAGAAATGATCTGATGGCTATGCTTCAAACTTGATTAACTTCAATAAAATTCCTTTAACCATTAATAAGAAAACATATTGGTTGGAAATTTTTTTTCAATCCTTTAAAACTTGATTTTTTTTTCTAATAGGAAATTTATTAGCTTTTTTAGCAAAGAAAAATGAAATAAATCTAAATTGGATATTATTATATATAATATCTTATTTAAATTTATCTTAATTCTAGTATAATAAAAATATAAATAATCTATATTTATACAAATTTAATATTTCACATTGATATAAAATTTCTCAGCGGCCGCTCGTCGATCTTTGTCCACAACCTCTAGCGAGAATATCCAACATCAAGAAACTCAAAATCTGTGCTGACTTCGATCTTGTTATGTCCGATGCTGATACTGGCAAAGATTGGTTCGGTCACACGCTCCTTGTATCAATTCCTTCTCCTTACTCTTTTTTCTGAGTATGATTGTTTTTACCTCATATTTCAATATAGTATTTTAAAACGAGGACTTCCATATTCCTTTAGGTTTTAGCGTAGTCATCAAGCGAGTGCCAACGGGAAGAGAGGCGACTAATGATCGGTTAGTTTGTTTTTGTTCGTCATTGCTTCATTGTATTATTTTTCCTACTGTCATACTTTGGGGCATTATAGATGTTCTTTGTTGCATAGGGATGTGATTGCTAGTACTGTTGAAAAATTGGGAGGATGTGTTGGTAGGCTGTAATCTCGACTTCTGAGGTAATGCTTTTCACATTAGTTTTGTAAAAGCAAAGTAAGGTCCTTATATGCCCACCATTTCTTTTATTTTTTAATGGAAAAAATCCCATTTCTTTGTTCTGTATGCATCACTAGATTGGCTGATGGATTCTTTCTTGCATCGTTGAACATTCTCATCATTGACTACATTTAATGATCTTATTGGATTGCATATAAATACATTGTCTACATATTGTTTTCTTGAGTATACTTAGTACTAGAAAGTGGGGATGCTCTATAGTTGGATTGAAATTTAGTCAAATCAAATTATTGAGGAAGGCCTCATCGTATTCACTCTCCTCTATATTAGTCATATCATTAAGATACGTTCAATCATTACTGTCAACTACATTTTCTCAGATTACTTCATTCAAATGCTAAGTAGCTAAATAAGAAAAAATAAAATCGAATTCCTTTGTATAAAAAAATCCTTTAAAGAGTAATCACAATTTATCATATTTTACATCAGAGTTTTTTAAAATTATAATACTAGCCATATAAAACATAAAAGAAACTCTGTTCTAATTTGAATAATATATACGACAAGTGCAGAATTATCAATTCTACAGGAAATTTTTTTTTCTTTTCACAATAAGAAATGCAAAGACAGAACGTTAGCACAACTCTAAAAGATTGAACTTTTTTTAAAAATTAAAACCTGAAGTGATAAACTTTAAATAATCAATAAACAAGCACTAAAATAAAGTAGAAATTCTCTTAATGCTTTTTGAAAATAACTACATATTGTAATATTGCAGCATGATGTATATGATCTTAATTATTGTGGGAGCCAAGAATAGTAAATATCTGAGTAGTGAGGTGAAGGTCTAAGGATTCTTAAGATATGTTTCAAAAAAATTTGTTCTCCGCTGACGCATTCTCTTTTTATAATAGGTATTGAGTTTGCTATTCACACCAACTATGTCATTCATGAGACCCGCCAATGTCGCTTCCTTGATAATCTTATTAAATATTTTAGAAATATTTTCATCATTTCCAACTAGGCCTTTAATAATGTCATCATTTCTCAACAGAGCTACATTATCCACATTATTGATGAAGCCTTTAAAAAAAATATAAGCTGTCACTTCGTTACATGTAGTTGCATGTAAGAGATCAAAGGCCATGAGATTGAGTAACGATGGCTCAGTGATATTATCAACTTTAACCCGAGGAAGAGATAAATTGCTTCCATTGAAATTAATATCTCTGAAGGAATTAATTTCTCTTATAGAATGCTACTCCGACATTTCTGAGTTATGTGGATGACTATACATTCTCCTCGTAGCTTGGCAGGTAGTCTCTCTCATATGTTAATATTTTTCTGTATATATCTAAGATGTGAAAGCATTTGTTGATTATTCGATCTTCTAAGAGATTGTAGAAAGCTTTGATTATAGTATTCATATCTCCAATTTGATTTGGTAAAATTAAGAAAATTATTGATTTGTCTAATATAAATGAATATTAATTAAGATAATTAATTAGAATGTTACTCCTGATCCATCAATGACTACCATTATAGTGAGCAATAAAATTGGGATCTGGTTCTCGAGGAGAAGCATATTTTGCTTCAGATCAGGAATGACATGGATCATTCTCGCAACTTTAAATATCGGATCGTGAGAGTCGTATTCGCTTTGTAACCATGCAGTAAATCTCTTATCAGCGAGCATGATTTTTAAGGCGAAACAGTCGTTGACAATAATAATCTTGAGTAACTCATCATTCTCCTTAAGCCAATCACGACACTAGAATTAGCCACATTTTAAGCACTGCTCGTCGTCCTTCTCGACTTAAAGGAAATCATAAGAAGCGATAAGAAAGGTGGAGCCCTACCTCATCACTTCCAACGATAACCTTTAATTCGAGGAGGATGACGAGAATTGCTTAAAACGTGGTTGATTCTGCCGCCATGATTGACTTAACGAGAAGGACGAGTTCCTCAATATTAGTATCGTGGACGGCTGCTTCGTCTTAAAAATTATGCTTGCTGATAAGAGATCCACTGTCGAGAAGCATCACGATCTAATATTTGGAGTTGTGAGAATGATCTATATCGTTCTCGATATGAAGCGAGATTTGCTTCTCCTTGAGAACCAGCTCTCGTTTTTTAGTGCTCACTATATTGCTAGTCATCGATGGATCAGGAGTAACATTCTAATTAATTATGTTATTTAATATTCATTTTTTAATGGACCAATCAATCATTTCTATTAAATTTACCGAATCCGATTGGAGATATGAATACTCTAATCATAGTTTTTTATAACATCTCTTTAGCTTCACCAAAAGATCAGATAATATATGAATGCTTTCACGTCTTAGACCTATACAAAAAGATATTGACATCTGAGAGAGTATCTGCCAAGCTACGAGGAGAACATATAGTCAGTCACAGAGCTCAGAAATGCTGGAGTATCGTTCTGTAAGAGCAAAACTATTTCCTTTAGAGATATTAGTTTCAACGAAGACATTCATCTCTTCCCAAACTAAAAGCTGATAATACCACTGAGTCATTATTATTCAATCTCACGATCTTCGAGTGTTTACATGAGATTGCATGTAATAAAATGACAGTCTATACTTTCTTTTTGGATGACCTCATTAATGCTATGGATTATATAGTTCTATTGGGAATTGAGAAAATTATTAAGGGTTTGATAGACAGTGATAGAAATATTTTTAAAATATTTAACAAAATTAACAAGGAAACAACATTGGCGGGTTTCATGAATGGTATAATTGGTGTGAATAGTAAGCTAAAAAACTATTGTAAGAAAAGGATGTGCTGTTGGAGAGTAAATTTTATTGAGACACATCTTAAGAATTATTGGATCTTTACCTTATAATTCGAAAGTTTGCTTCTCTTGGCTCTCATAATAATTAAGACTGTAGACCATGCTGTAATATTATAACGCGTAGTTATTATTAAGAAAGTATTGATAGAATTTCTATTTAATTTTAATATTTATTTATTGATTACCTAAAGTTTATCACTTCAGTTTCTAGTTATTGAAAAAAAGTTTGATATTGTAGATTAGTACTAACGTTCTTTCTTTGTATTTTCTTTTGTGAAAAGATGAAAAGTTTTTTCTTGGAGAATTGATAATTCTGTACTTGCCACAGATAGTATTCATATTGGAAAAAATTCATTTTATGTTTATGTGGCTAGTGTTATAATTTTAAGAAATGCTACAAAATTGTGTAAGTTATGGTTACTCTTTGGAGGTTTTTTTTTATAGAAAGGAATTCAATTTTGTTTTTCCTTTTTTAGCTATTCAACAATTGGTGGAAGTAATATGAGGAAAGTTGGCTGACAGTAATTAATTTCTATCAATTTACAAATAAGTTAACATCAAGGTGTACTGGTCAGTGGGAACCATTTTAATTGGTCTATTGTTTTATTATGTTATACTGATCAACAAGGATTTAAAAATTGGATTGTATAGATCGATTGAACCAGTTTAATCATGGATTGGTTCTTTAACTAGTTCGGTCTAGTCCTAAAGCTAATTTTTTTATGTAATTGGTTCAAATTGATTAGATCTGATAGTTGAAATGATGAATTGGTGAATTTGTCAGGTTTTTAATGAATCACTCACTTAGAATTCATGTTAGAAATATTAATTTAGAAAATATTATGAAAATATGGTACTCATCCAGTAAAGAATCCTATCCATTATCTCTCAAAATTATCTCTCAAAATTTACAATTATCTGTATACATACAATAATTTCATTCCATTCAAAATATTTGATCTTTTCCTTATAAGACTTGTTACAATTTATTTATAATCCTTTAAATATCAATTATTATGTGCAATATCAAGACAAATTAAAAACATTTCCAAGCATTTATCAAAACACCAACTTCAATTGATTGTTAATCATGTACCTCATCTTTTCCTTAATAATTTCAAGCAATTCTATCATAGATGCATATATTTTCATTAGACTAATCAAGTTATGAAAATGTAAAATTCACTGGGTGTGACAAGTTCATTATAAAGTAATCTCTTAGTTCAAACCTCAAGCATTACTCAGATCCCTAGTCGTAAGATATAAAGTTATTATTATGCTTAATGGTTTTAAGGTTATCACTTCTTTTACATAAAACTTCAATAGTATTTATAGTTCTTGATGTGATCTCTATAAGTTACTTCACCTACAAATTATTCTTTGCTACAACCACTAAGCACAATTAGAGTTGGTGAGCATGATAATAAACGTAAAATATTTCAGGATTATCAATAAGTGTTGGTGCTTCAAATCATGAAATTCTCCTCAAATAATATATGTCCTATTATATCCTGATTATGTATCATATGTATGCTTTACAAGTATTATTACAATGGATGATTTAAGTGCAACTATATTAGTCGAGAAGACATTTATAATACCTTTAAATCTCTCAATAACTTGGCCTAAGCTATTTTCATATCTCACTGCAAGCTTTGATTTCTTGAATCATAGGATGAAGGGATTTTATTTTATTCGTCCTTGAATGTTTAGGTTATTTGAAATATGAGTATAATGATTCTCTTTGTATTTTCTGGATCATAGGTTAAAGGGCATCAGTTTAATTATATTTCCAAGATTATAGGATACGTTTTTAGAATTTATTTCTAAGGTAATTTAAGTGTTGATGGATAGCTAGCTAGAACTGGGGATGTTTGAGAGACTGTTTGATTAAGTCGAGCATATTTTTTACACTCTACTTATTTAATTTTTTTTTTTAAAATAGTTTAGATTCAGAAAATCTTTAAAATAACATTTAACTATTTTGAAATATATTATAAATAATTTAAGTTTAAAAGATTTAACATATCTTAAACCCATTTAAAATCATTAATTTGATTTTGGAGCCTATGGTGGCATAATTCACCTCAAAGTGAATCATGCACATCAATCATTTTATCTATTTAAAAATATTTAATCATTTAAAATTATAAAATTTGTTAAAACCATTTAAATCCCCTAATTAATTTTCTTAAGTGCTTTGGTGTGTTACCCTGACTTATTGTGTACTAAATGCATCATCAAGACCCTAGGACTTTGGGGTAGATATGATCCACCATAGAATGAATTATATTCATCTACTAGGCTTTATATAATGCCATCAAATCATTTATCTCCTTTTGAATTGTAAAGTTCCTAAAAATTTATCAAACTCATCAACCTTTTTTGGATACTTCATAATGCTACCCCATGTTAGGATAGAGTCCACATATCATTAAGATCTTAGGACCCATGGATGACATAAGTTATCATAGGGTGGATTATGCTTATCCTTTAAGTTCCTGAAAGTGGATTAGTTTATCAATTTTGATGCCTTTAAAAACCTTGATAACATGTTAAATATGAAGTGATCAAGAAAGTAAAATATTCTAGCAGGTACCCCCAAAAAAAAATCCAAGTTTCTTATAACATACTTAACATGTTATATTGGCATAATATAGAGAAATGAATATGACAAAATTTTAACATCATATCCATGTAAAATATTACTTTGAAAATTAACAATGATATACTTATCATCATGAATATAAAATATTTCTCCTTTTGAAATGTAAAGTTCCTAAAAATTTATAAAACTCATCAACCTTTTTTGGATACTTCATAATGCTACCCCATGTTAGGATAGAGTCCACATATCATTAAGATCTTAGGACCCATGGATGACATAAGTTATCATAGGGTGGATTATGCTTATCCTTTAAGTTCCTGAAAGTGGATTAGTTTATCAATTTTGATGCCTTTAAAAACCTTGATAACATGTTAAATATGAAGTGATCAAGAAAGTAAAATATTCTAGCAGGTACCCCCAAAAAAAAATCCAAGTTTCTTATAACATACTTAACATGTTATATTGGCATAATATAGAGAAATGAATATGACAAAATTTTAACATCATATCCATGTAAAATATTACTTTGAAAATTAACAATGATATACTTATCATCATGAATATAAAATAGCTTAAACATTAGTATTTGAAAATTAAAAAAATTGAGTGCAAGTGATATTAAATACTATGCTAAAGTTCGCTCTTATCAACTTATAT